AGTTTTGGAAAGTTGCACGCCTGATGGCCGGGAGTTAAAGTTACTAAGTTGACAATCCACCAGTTTATTGTTATTTTCTGAGAACTAACATTAAACAGTACTCTTCTTATGTTTACCCTTTTGTTACTTTTGTTTGTTAGTCAGACCCGTGAAGATTCCGGGTTAGAATAGGTCTTCAGCAACCCATACTTGCCATTAAAGGCAACTATGCTTGTCGTAAAAGGCGACTAACGGGATCGGGTGGTCAGGCTAGCTGACTTGGTTGATACATGTCATCATATCCCAATTGCGTGGATCGATGTTCATGATATCAATCACTGGATTGTCTGGTCCAGACTCGATTATTTACAGACCGCCGTCATATAGCTGGAATATTGCTGAGTGCGGCGTTAAACAACAAACCAACCAACCAATACTTGTTAGTCAAGGTAGGGTGTTACTTCGCATCCAAGATTATTGCACTTAGATAGCAATGTGCATGCATGTGAGTGTGTGTTGCTGCTTATACTAGTCCGGACTAGTTTCGATTGTAACATGAATACCCCACTCAGACACAGTATACTGACACCGAGACGACCAGTCCTTGTTTTCGTCCCTTTATGCCAAGCGCCGCAGGGTAAGAAGACTTACAATTTTTTAACATCTTTTGGTAGGATGCAGTCGGTGATCGAACCCTGGACCTTCCGCTCTCTGGGGGGACACTCTACCACTGGGCCACGCGGTTGTTCGTTAGTTTAGAAAACTCTGGACTGGCAACATTTTATCTGTTCTTGTAACTTTGCACCGCTTTGATGTATAGGCTAAAAAAAAAAATATTCATGGTTTTCAGGCACCTCCTGCATCATCATAAGTTTGCCGCATGTTTCGTTTTTATTTCCATTTAAAAAAAATAATTAAAAAATCCTTAAATATTCCAAGCCCAACGGTAGTCAAATACTGTATTCCAGTATTTTACTCATTAAGGAATACATTTATGTAGGGAGGCCCTTCCCCAGGTTGATTGTACACGATTGTTTATTGATTACACAACTGTTTATTGGTTACATACTAGTTTGAACGATCAAAAAAAAAAAGAAGGCAACCCCTGCCCGCACTATATTTTCAAAAACCATTGCCTGAGAACCAATTCTTTTATTTTTTGAGCCATAAATATATATTTCCATGCACCTCACTGTGTAGTAGCATGTCGATATATTTATGCTACACAATATTTTACAATTCAGTATCGGTCCCAAAAGGTTTGCATTAGGCCAATTTGTTCTGATTTTAGAATAAGCGTGTTTGTTTACAAACAATAATAGGGTTTGTTTACAAACAAGAGAAAAGTCAGATGATATGCAAATTAGCCTGTTGCAATGGTGTTTTGCTAAGTCACCACTGCGCTGGAGTGTGCCTTTTGTTGGAACAATGTCACATAGCATCATTTGTTATGTCATAAATAAAGGATGATATGATCCTCAATTATTTACGACAGTGCATTGATATGACAACATAGTGGCTGGTGAGGTGCCTCTTCATACACAAAGAAAACAACAGAATGACTGGTACGACCAAGCTAATCAGCATGAAGCAAGATAATGCTCAGTGGCGATTAGTGAAAAGATTTCACTTGTGTCTGGGGCAGTCGGGTAGCCCAGTGGTTAAAGCGTTCGCTCGTCACGCCGAAGACCCGGGTTCGATTCCCGACATGGGTACAATGTGTGAAGCCCATTTCTGGTGTCCCCCGCCGTGATATTGCTGGAATATTGCTAAAAGCGGCGTAAAACCATACTCACTCACTCACTCACTCACTCACTCACTCACTCACTCACTTGTGTCTGTACTCCTGAGTTTCATATTAGATCATATCATGCCATGAATTCAGGAACTACTAATGTAATTTTGAAACCTCACGGGACCATTCACTGATCCCACAGAATATATACTGTTGTTTCACTTTTTTTCTACAGATTTGTATTGTTTTATTCCAAATTCAGTTGTGACTGACATTTCTCGATTACCACTAGCCAGTCTCGATAGATAATTACAGACACACAGACAGACACACAGACTGACAGGTATTGTTTGTTAAAGTGTCACAAGTTAAATGTCCAAGGTTAAAATCACTTGTAATTCATAAAATATTTTTAACAACCCGCCCTTTCTTGGTTTATGAGACACTATTATAACATTGGACAAATAATATTTTACATACATAGTAAGAAGATTGGGAAGAAACAGTGGTAGAAACAGTTGAGATCTAAAGTACATGTTTTCTACAGCATAAGCAATTTAGTAATAGGGGTTTGGTGACTGTCACTAAATATTTAACAATAAGATCTCTGGTGTCAGCAAAAGTGTAAAAAATGCATACAATTGTATCTCATATCTTGATGAAAGTACAGTGTGTAAAGCCCATTTCTGGTGTCCCCAGCCATGATATTGCTGGAATATTGCTAAATGCAGTGTAAACCTCACTCACTCACTCTTGATAAAAGTTACATGCCAAAAGAAAATGCATGTCTGTTTCCACTATTCCACCGATGGCGTAATGTCCTCTAGCAGGATGGGATGGTTGGAGATGGGGTTCTATTGTGTTGACCTGTCAGACATGTGTGTTACAGCTTCTCATTAATGTTTGATAGCTTCTCTCAGCTTGACTGGCCTATTTGTTAAACCATGTCGTGAACCACTGGGGGATAAATCATGAATAAGCATCATAAAGTCCATCTTCCCGAGGCAAGAGAGTTAACTGACTTTTAAAGTCCAGTTTCCACCCTTGCCGAACTAGGCTGGAATTCCTGGGCTCAATCGTAGCGCCACCAGTGGCTATTAGGAGTTATGTCCTTTCTATGCCTCTCCTATGGACCAATCAGGTTCCACCCCTCGTATCACTTGCATTTGCTTCAAACAAAACGGTGGCGCCCATGCAGTCAAGACGATCTGATTGATAATCAAGATCTATATTGTGATAAAACGAGTCTTACATCGCGAAGTGCATCAAATCACGTGAGCACCTTGATTAAAAGCATGAAAAGATTTAGAAAATATCTGTTGACAATGAGTTAGTGGTGCACATGCTTTGCAAATCCTGCAGTTGACCGAAATCTGCACGACACTTTATGAACCGGATTTCGATTTCGGTGCGCAATTTTGATTGGACTATGCATAGACTCTTTAGTCCAGCCAAAATGTAACTCCATAATACCGGCCTAGTTCGGCAAGGGTGGAAACTGAACTTTTATAGTCAGTTAACTCACTTGCCTCGGGAAGATGATCACAATATGGTACATGTAATTACCCATACAGTCATGATACAGCCAACCATGTCCTGTGTTAGTTTATGGTGTGTGACAAATAGGAGGATACTGCTACAGATGGAGTATTCTTACAAATCCGTGGGTGAGAAACCCATTTGAGATAACTGGTATCAAACATGTGTGAGATCAAATTCCAGGCCCTTGATTGGCTACTCCATGGTGATGACCTGAGGTCAGATTATGACGGACTACTTTCCTGATCTTAGGTCATTGCTAAGTTACTCGTGCTTCAGTCAAATGTTCACCTACGTCTGTGTTGAAGGTTATATCACAGCGTGTCAGCTTAATGTGGGAGGAAAGGCTGAAGTCATGCAAATCTCAGACGTTTACCATTTCTGTGAAGCACGGGTATGGTGCTGACAAACCTAGAAACATAATCGGGCAGAACCGGGATTTGAACCCATAATCATAGGTTTCTGGCATGCACAAGGAACACAACTCTGCACAGCGAATCGCAGCACCTTAGACGACTGGGCCACCCATGCCCCCATTCATGCTTTTAGTGTGTTATCCCCTGAACGTCTCAGCGACATATAAGTCCCTCCTCATCAACCCACGACCCGTGAAGATCCGGGGTAGAATAGCTCTTCAGCAACCCATGCTTGCGACTATGCTTGTTGTAAGAGGCGACTAAAGGGACTGGCCAGGCTCGCTGATAAAAAGAGTCTTACATCGCAAAGTGCATCAAATCACTTGATTAAAAACATGAAAAGATTTAGAAAATATCTGTTGACAACTAGTTAGTGGTGCACATGCCTTGCAAATCCTGCAGTTGACTGAAATCTGCATGACACTTTACGAACCGGATTTCAATTTCAGTGCGCGATTTTGATTGGACTGTATGCATAGACTCGTTAGTCCAGCCAAAATGTAACTCCATAATACCAGCCTAGTTCGGCAAGGGTGGAAACTGGACTTTTATAGTCAGTTAACTCACTTGCCCTTGGAAGATGCATAAAGTCAGAAGATGGAATAGTTCTGTACATTTATTCTTGATGATGGCAAAAATTAGAATGAACTACCATATTTTCCTTAATAAGCACCTTGCTGCAATAAGCTCTTGCCCAATATGTATTTCCCTTGGGATAATAAAGTTTTATCTTATCATATCTTTTCTTCACCAATCTGAAATACAAGCTCATTTTGCAACTACCTCTGCCAAGTCCTACAAGCGTATTTTGCAACTACCTCTGCCAAGTCTTACTAGCGTATTGTGCAACTACCTCTGCCAAGTCCTACAAGCGTATTGTGCAACTACCTCTGCCAAGTCCTACTAGCGTATTGTGCAACTACCTCTGCCAAGTCCTACTAGCGTTTTGTGCAACTACCTCTGCCAAGTCTTACTAGCGCATTATGCAACTACCTCTGCCAAGTCCTACTAGCGTATTGTGCAACTACCTCTGCCAAGTCTTACTAGGGTATTGTGCAACTACCTCTGCCAAGTCTTACTAGCGTATTGTGCAACTACCTCTACCAAGTCCTACTAGCGTAGTGTGCAACTACCTCTACCAAGTCCTACTAGCGTATTGTGCAACTACCTCTGCCAAGTCCTACTAGCGTATTGTGCAACTACCTCTGCCAAGTGTGTGTGGCAACTAATTGTGTTCTGACAGCTGTGTTAAACTGTATTCACTCACTCTTGTCTTATTTTATATCAAGTCTTGTATGCGACATGTTTACAATGTATTAATTTTGTTGCAGAATGACAAAGGCAAGTCTGGTCCCCTTAATGTCATCACAAGTCTGTTTCGGTCTTCTCCTGATGAGAAACGTCGAGATCGTGGATCCACATCATCTGAGAATGGAACGTCCAAATCGACAGAGCTCCCTCGCATAGAAGGAGGCAGTGGTCATCTGACTGGACCACAGAACCAGAACCGACCCACATATCTTTCAACTGGCGGCTCACGGACGACACGTTCCCCGAGATCCAGCCCAAACCCTGACAGATCCCCAAAGAGTCCCTCACCCAACCCCTCAAAGGTCAACTATCCCGTCCGTACAAAGACAGCGGAACAGCTGAAGTAAGTGGAGATAATCAGCCTGGACTACACTCAGGATACAATCTTAGAGTAAAGGTGTAAAGTCGCCTGGAGTAAATCAAGGATACTATCTTTGAGTAAAGGTATAAAAGTCGCCTGGAGTAAATCAAGGATACAATCTTTGAGTAAAGGTATAAAGGTCGCCTGGAGTAAATCAAGGATACAATCTTTGAGTAATGGTATAAAAGTCGCCTGGAGTAAATCAAGGATACAATCTTTGAGTAAAGGTTTAAAGTCGCCTGGAGTAAATCAAGGATACAGTCTTTGAGTAAAGGTGTAAAAGTTGCCAGGAGTAAATCAAGGATACAATCTTTGAGTAAACTTATAAAAGTTGCTTTCTGTTAATCAAGGATACAACCTAGAGCCGACGTATGAAAGTCGCCAGGATACAATCTTAGAGTAAAGGTATAAAAGTTGCTTGGAGTAAATCGAGGATAGAATCTTAAAGGTGTAAAAGTCGCCTGGAGTAAATCAAGGATGCAATCTTAGAGTAAAGGTATAAAAGTCGCCTGGAGTAAATCAAGGATACAATCTTAGAGAAAAGGTATAAAAGTTGCTGTGAGTAAATCGAGGATAGAATCTTAAAGGTGTAAAAGTCGCCTGGAGTAAATCAAGGATACAATCTTAGAGTAAAGGTATAAAAGTTGCTTGGAGTAAATCAAGGATACAATCTTAGAGTAAAGGTATAAAAGTCGCCTGGAGTAAATCAAGGATACAATCTTTGAGTAAAGGTAAAAAAGTCGCCTGGAGTAAATCAAGGATACAATCTTTGAGTAATGGTATAAAAGTCGCCTGGAGTAAATCAAGGATACAATCTTTGAGTAAAGGTTTAAAGTCGCCTGGTGTAAATCAAGGATACAATCTTAGAGTAAAGGTATAAAAGTTGCTTGGAGTAAATCGAGGATACAATCTTAGAGTAAAGGTATAAAAGTTGCCTGGAGTAAATCAAGGATACAATCTTAGAGTAAAGGTATAAAAGTCACCTGGAGTAATACAAGGATACAATCTTAGAGTAAAGGTATAAAAGTCACTTGGAGTAATACAAGGATACAATCTTAGAGTAAAGGTATAAAAGTCGCCTGGAGTAAATCAAGGATACAATCTTAAAGGTGTAAAAGTCGCCTGGAGTAAATCGAGGATAAAATCTACTGGCAGTTTGACAAGGACTACAGGACTTAGAGTAAAGCCGTGTACCCATGTAGACGTGAAGACATGTATATTCTGTCATTTATTTGAATTGTCTCCGTTTCTTGTGTTGAGGAGAGATCGATCATCTGCTGTTAGGTAATGTCCGGCTTAGGCTTCATCTGTTTTATGCATGATACTTCACAAACAATATTTTTTGTTGCGGATAATTGTGATTGTGTAATCAATATTACCGACAAGTACAACTATGGAGAACAATAATTGTTGTCATGGGGAGATGGACTGTATTGTGAGATAAACACGATGCGATCAGTTGAATTGTTATGTAACTAATGCCAATAGATATTATGTAGGAAAACTGTTCAAGCTGATCAAGATAACCTTGGTTTGGAGTCTCAGGTGATACTCCAGTCCAACTGTGATCAGGATGTTGGAGGAAATGTTTCAAGGACCTATTAGCTTACATCCATAGACAATGAGATGCATTTAGAAATGCTGCCTCTGTGTAGGAACAAATGTCAGGATTGATTTTCCATGGCTATATCAGAACTGCAAACAAGATGGGTATGCATGGCTCTTTCATGCATGCTGATAGTGTGTTTACTAAGGTGGGGATGATGACTGTCATAAATATAAACTCTGAGATAGTCATGGCAGGCAGAGTTATGGGGGTGGGCTGTGGAGTGCTCGGGTGGCAAGGGAAGGCAAGAGTGGTTGGGGAGGGCAATAGTGTGCTAGGGTGGCAAGGGAAGGCTTGGGAGGGCTAAGATGGCAAGGAAGGGCTAGGATAGGAAGGTCAGTTTGGGAGGGCTAGGATGGCAAGGGAGGACTAGGGTGGCAAGGGAAGGCTGTGGCAATGGTGGTTTGGGAGGGCTAGGGTGGCAAGGTCAGTTTGGGAGGGCTAGGGTGGCAAGGGAGGACTAGGGTGGCAAGAGAGGACTAGGGTGGCAAGGGAGGGCTAGGGTGGCAAGGGAAGGCAAGGGTGGTTGGGGAGGGCTACAGAGTGCTCGGGTGGCAAGGGCGGTTGGGTAAGGCAATAGAGTGCTCGGGTGGCAAGGGCGGTTGGGTAAGGCAATAGAGTGCTCGGGTGGCAAGGGAAGGCAAGGGTGGTTGGGGAAGGCAATAGAGTGCTCGGGTGGCAAGGGAAGGCAAGGGCGGTTGGGGAGGGCAATAGAGTGCTCGGGTGGCAAGGGAAGGCAAGGGCGGTTGGGGAGGGCAATAGAGTGCTCGGGTGGCAAGGGAAGGCAAGGGTGGTTGGGGAGGGCTACAGAGTGCTCGGGTGGCAAGGGAAGGCAAGGGTGGTTCGGGGGGCTACAGAGTGCTCGGGTGGCAAGGGAAGGCAAGGGTGGTTGGGGAAGGCAGTAGAGTGCTCGGGTGGCAAGGGAAGGCAAGGGTGGTTGGGGAAGGCAGTAGAGTGCTCGGGTGGCAAGGGAAGGCAAGGGTGGTTGGGGAAGGCAATAGAGTGCTCGGGTGGCAAGGGAAGGCAAGGGTGGTTGGGGAAGGCAGTAGAGTGCTCGGGTGGCAAGGGAAGGCAAGGGTGGTTGGGGAAGGCAATAGAGTGCTCGGGTGGCAAGGGAAGGCAAGGGCGGTTGGGGAGGGCTACAGAGTGCTCGGGTGGCAAGGGAAGGCAAGGGCGGTTGGGGAGGGCTACAGAGTGCTCGGGTGGCAAGGGAAGGCAAGGGTGGTTGGGGAGGGCTACAGAGTGCTCGGGTGACAAGGGAAGGCAAGGGTGGTTGGGGAGGGCAATAGAGTGCTCGGGTGGCAAGGTCGGTTTGGGAGGGCTAAGATGGCAAGGAAGGGCTAGGGTGGCAAGGAAGGGCTAGGGTGGCAAGGAAGGGCTAGGGTGGCAAGGAAGGGCTAGGGTGGCAAGGGAGGACAAGGGTGGTTTGAGAGGGCTAGAGAGGGCTGAGATCGGATGGCAAGGGAGGTTTAGGTTGCCATTGAGGGTGGGGAGGCAAGAGAGGTTTTGGGTGGCAAGGGAGGTTTAAGGCGGCAAAGGAGGTTAAGGGTGGCAAGGGGCGGCTACGGGGGCTACTGTAGGCAAGGGTAGTTTAGGGTGGCAAGGGTCAGCTAGTGGGACTAGGATAGTTTAGGGTGGCAAGGGAGGTTTAGGGTGGCAAGGGAGGTTTAGGGTGGCAAGGGAGGTTTGGGGTGGCAAGGGGTGGCAAGGGTCAGCTACTGGGGCTAGGATAGTTTAGGGTGGCAAGGGAGGTTTAGGGTGGCAAGGGGCGGCTTCGGGGGCTAGGATAGTTTAGGGTGGCAAGGGAGGGCGAGGGTGGCATTTTTATTCGAATATGAACGCATGATTATTAGAGAAGTTGTTATGATCTCTTGCACTTTAATCTTATAACTTAGCCCTTATTTACTGTGTGGGAATGGCGAGTGAATGCTGTCTTTGTGTTGTTTTGTAAAAAAAAGATATCTCAATTTGATGTTTTCCAGTGTTTTTCTCTTCTCTGATCGCAGAGATATGTTTGTAACAGGGATACAGGAATAATACATGTCAATTAAAAAACAATAGATTATTTATGTGATTACTTTGGCTCATGAAGGTCCAGTTGACTGCTTATGAATATGAAACAAAGACAGCAGTTTAACAAGCTTCAGTTGGATTTGTGATGGTTTAAGATCATTATTCTTAAAAAGAACAATCTTCAGAGAGAGAAAAATATTTGAACATTTGTGTGTTTTACAAGATTTATGAAAGCCTTCATTTGAAGAAAACACCAATTAGGATGCTGCAATCACTTTAATTTGTATGAATATATCGTGAAGTACAATTGTTTCAAATTTATGTTATTTATTTTGTTTTAATAAAAATGCATTAAGAATTGAAATTTAATCTCATTAGAATCAAATCTTAGTTCTTGCTACTGCTATACAAAGGTCTGAGGACATCCCATTACAGGATATATCAGAAAGACCTTTCATTTGACCAATCAGAGCATCACTTACTAGATCAGGAAAGTGACAGTGTGTTTTCTAATCATGCAACCTCATAAAAGTTAACACAGGTTAGTCAGAAAAAACAGTTACTGGCTCTACAACTGATTCTGTCAAAATCATCATCTGTTTTCTAGCGTCAGTGGGATAAACATTTGAATGAAAGATACTTTGTATTGCCCACACGAAGTACTGCCATACAACCTCAGACATCTATTAGACATTCTAGAAGGTTCTTTTGCTCAGTTTTATAATTTCGAATCAAGAACTTTGTCAAATATTTTCCAAAACCTGGTCTGGAATGGAAGATGCCAGTTTGAAACTGGTGCCGTATCACTTACGAAAGCTGCTCTCTCATTGATTAATGTTGACTTCATTGGTCGATCAATGGTCATTCTTGTGTGACCTGTAATGGGATGTCCTCAGATCTTTGTGTAGCAGTAATGATTACTAAAATTTGATATTAACTAGATTGAATTGAAATTGTGAAGAACTATTTTTGGAAAGCTAAGGTAAAGCCAATGTATCTGTAATATGAGTAGAAAACACTTGGTTTTCCTTCAGAACATGACATGATACGTGCATCTTCAACTTGACAGTAACATTCTAATCTACTCTCTGTTCATATATTTCTGACCGCCTCCGTGGTCTAGTGGTAGAGTGTCCGTCCGGAGAGCGGAAGGTCCGGGGTTTGATCCCCGACCACGTCATACCAAAAGACGTTAAAGGATGGTACTTGTTGTTACCCTGTCTGGCACACGGCATTAAGGGGCTAAAACAAGGACTGGTCAGCTCGAGTCAGTATACTGTGTCTGAGTGGGGTATTCATGTTAAACTGCGGCATGGTATCTCAATGAGCTAGCACTATAAATCGGCATCAGTCCGGACTAGTACAAGCAGCCACACAAACATACACACGTACATGCATGTCGCTATATCAGTGCAAATAATCTTGGACGCGACGTTAAACCCCATTTCACCTCACCTCATATATTTCTGCCTGTAATGCGATGTTATCTATCTGTTGAACCTATGGCTGGCTACCTGGGCTACTATCAATGCATTGTGCTCAGTAATAGAACATTACATCTTTCATCCTTGACAACATTCTGTGCCAAAAATGTTTGCTTCTACAAGACCGTACTTGTCTTTGGCATGATATTCATTAGATTTTAGTGTTAATATATTATTGGCTGAACTTACCAGGCTGAACAAACTGCCTTGGGTTTTGGTGGTAAGATGATGGGGGTTAAGATCCCTAGGATGACAGTGTGTTCAGCGCAGACTGTGCTGAAAATGAAGGAGGTGGGCTTCAAGGTGACAATTTGTTTTCAGTTTCTGGTCTTTTATCTGGACACCATAGACACCTCTAGATTTCTACTCGTGTCGTCCCCATGGGGATTCTGGGTTAGAATTGTCCCCAGAAACGAATACTGGTCGTAAGTGGCGACTTCATGGATCGGATAGTTAGGCCCAGTGACTTGGTTCATGGCCGTCTCTATCTCTCTAATCTAATTTCGCAGATCTGTTTAAGACAAAATCTGCAATTTTTGCAGAAGAATCACCCAATTTGCCTTTTGTAATCAATCAATCGATTCCCAAAGTTTCATTATTTTTAAGCTTGTCTATCAAATTTTAGCACTCGAATGATGCCCAAACATTTAACATGAGATTCATACATTCAAGATATGAATCCTACAATAAAATGAAATTTGAAATAAATAATCTATCACTTGTTAACAATCTTGTGGTATTATGACTACATTATTTTATACCAAAGCATACATGTTACCCTGAATGGAGCTGTTAGAGTTCTGGACCCGTGTAGATCCGGGGTTAGAATAGGTCTTCAGCAACCCATGCTTGCCATAAGAGGTGACTAGCGGGACGGGATGGTCAGGCTCGCTGACTTGGTTGATGCATGTCATCGATCCCAATTGTGTGGATCTATGCTCATGATCTCAATCACTTAATTGTCTGGTCCAGACTTGATTATTTACAGACCGCCATCAAATAGCTAGAATATTACTGAGTGCTATGGGCGGCCATTCGGTCAAAAAATACAAAGTTGACAAAAGTACGCAATTAAGATCAAATATTACGAATAAATAACTAAATGTTACAACTGAAGGTCAAAATACAAAACAAACAGACGAGGGTTAAACATACAAAGTTGAAATAAATGTCAAAAGTGCGCAATATTAATAGTCAAATGTTACGAAAAGACGTCATAAGAAAAGAAAGAACAATGTGTACGAAAGAACGTCAGTGAGCACAAAAGGACGTTGACAATAACAAACAAACGAACATGTTAGAGTTCTGTAATACATTGTTTGTTTTCAGGGAGGATGTGTCGTTGTGTCGCAGTTCGGGAGACTGGCATACCGTGCAGGACTTCTATGCAACCTTGTTTGAGTCCTTCATCGAACTCAATGCAGCTTTCAAGGTATTGTTGTAGTTCATCCACATCGACACTGTTTCACCATCAACAGATGAGAGCCAGCAAATGTTCATGATTGAATTCCCATTGATCTCTCATTGATTTATCATTAGCAGGGTTTGACACATCCTTGTGAAAATGGACGTCACGATGACCGCATATCTGGGATGGGGGTCATTTCCTTAATTGGGGGTCATGATTTTCTTTACACAAAAAATGAATCAAGACCTGGTTCTGTTTTGACAGGCCCTGCCATGCTTGTTTGTGGTCCGATATACCGTGACTGCTGTAAGCGCTAGGGGAAATACTAGCAGCTGATTGGCTGGTGTGTGGTCAATCCAGTTACGCATTGCGACAGCGATCCGGCCATGAATAGACAGTGGAAATCCAAGTTTCCTTTTCATGAAAGTTATTTTAGTCTCATTTGATTCTGAAAGTTTGTAGATTTGTTTATATTGAACAAATAGCGGGGTAGCAATCAGTATTTTCAAACTATTTTAAATATTGAGCGAATTTATCATGTCACTTATCATGTCACTTATCAAAAACTTTTGCTGAGTATTTCCGGAAAGAATTGTGTCATATACGCAGGAGTTGCAGTTCATGTAAAAATCATTGGTTTAATGCTGCAAGTCAGCTCACCATAATGAGATAATTGTTATGCAATACTAAGAAAACAAGATGTCTTTCCCAAGGTTGCATGTCTTTATGGTGGTATCTCTTATACTGGAGATATCCCAGAACATATGATGTGTGGCCAAAAAGGTGAAGAGTTTGTGTATATATCATTTAACCTGATACATATTTCATAGGCATGCAAAGATATGAAGTATATCTCAGATACGTATATCCAAAATAAGTATATCAAGTTTCAGTTTTGTGTACTGTGGAATGATCAGAATATCCATGACGTTTTTCTCGGATTTCAAACAGTGACTTGTGGCAAACTTGGAGGAAAAAGTATTATTTCGACCACAGTTGTCACAAGTTATTTTGTTCTTAAATCCAGACGTATACATTGCGTTAACTGCAACACTTCTCTTTATTGGAACTGTCTTCCATGAAATACAAGACGCCTTTGCAAAAACGTAACTAATGAGGTCCAGACAAACCAAGCTCTTGGACTAAAAGGGTCCTGACTAACAGGGTTTCTGGACTATCAAGGTTCAGTTAAGACTAGTAGGGTTCTGAACCTTGAAACAGAGTCCTGACTAACAGGGTTTCTGGACTAACAAGGTTCGGTTAAGACTAGTAGGGTTCTGAACCTTGAAGCAGGGTCCTGACTAACAGGGTTTCTGGACTAACAAGGTTCAGTTAAGACTAGTAGGGTTCTGAACCCTTAAAATGGGTCCTGACTGACAGGGGTCCTGAATTGTGAGACTTGATTGTTGTCCCACACAATACGTTTTCTGGGGGCTTTTAAAATGGACACCGTCAGTACTTACGTCTGTCTGTGCAAGATGTCATTTCCGGCGCAGATCTTGGAAACTGTACAATATTTCATCACTAAGCTTGGCACTTAGTTAGGTCTAGTGGTGAACTGGTGTCTTTCCATAGTTTGGGATTATCGGCAAAAATATTTTTCGAGTTTCCATGGCAACAACTTGGACTTGGACTGGACATTGGGGAAGCGCTCGTTTCCGGAGCTGATCTTGAAAACCGTACAACATTTCTTCACCAACTTGGCGCACAGATAGGTCTAGCGGTGAACTGGTGCCTTTTGATGTTTTGGATTTTTAAAAAAAATTATTTTTCGAGTTTTCATGGTAAACAAAAATTATATAAATGTAACTAGTTTACATATTCATGACAAGTATTCACTATTGAGATATAGATGACTTACCATTTCTGCAAACTCCTGGTGTCATCGCTTATTTTCAATGGCTGATGCATATAATTTTCACCACAATTTTACGTTTTGTGCCTTTTTTATGCACATAATTGAGACTTGTTATCCTCTGGTATTGACAATATATTGACCAAGGGGGTTCTGACTAATAGGATTTCTGGACCAACAGGGCTCACACGACAAGGGCAGTTCGTAAAATGTTTTATCGTTCCTTGGGAACTAAATACTATAAGTTGTAGCAGTATTACGCAGGGTGTACATATGGTTTTAATTGTCCCTTGTTAGATGTTATACCACTCGCCTCTGGGGACTAATAAAACCACATATATACCGTATTCAATGTAATAATCGCCCCGCTCTAATAAGCGCCCACGGCGAAATTTGCTAATATATTGGCAAGTGAACAATCCCAATTAGCACCCCTCCCGATTGTTCAATGTATACAAGACTTATTCATTTGTGTATAATACGTGTGTTATATGCATCCTTAATCATGGGAAATTAAATTCTGGAAAATATATCTGTCGTATATAAACATTTCAGGCTGTCGGCATAAACCACGAAATTTACGATCTTTCAACTCTGTTGTTTCACCAAAATAATATTCTATTAAGAGCCCCCTATTTCTAATTTTGAGAGCGCCCTGGGCGCTTATTATGTCGAATACGGTATATGTTCTGTAATAAGATGAAGCATATTCACAAGGCGATAAATTCTTTTGTTGTTGGTCGGAGTTGCAGTGTTGTCATTGTGTGTTGCAAGTTGCTATAGATGTTTAAGACAATGCACTAAGCTAGTCTCTGAAGACCAGGTGGTATAGTGAACTATTCGCAGCAAGCATTGTGCATGTTGTATGGATCCATCACAGTTCGTACTACACATCACACGGTCCACTGAACAATGAGTAGAGACGAGATGTGTGTTGTGTTAAATGATTTAATGGTATGAGAAGACTGGGCTATTTTGAGTCTCCCATGAGGGTCATCGTGGTCAATAGTCTTTACTTGCACTACTTACCCTTGTTCAGTGTCGTATTGTTCCTATCGGCCTGGTCATTCTACAACAAATTGATTTGTTATTAATCCTTGATATTCAATCTGATGGTGGGATATTAATCTCTGCCAAGAATTACTAAGCAATATAATATTTGTTAACTTGTCATTTCGAGAACAAAAAAATGGAAATACATGTAATAACCTAAACAGAACTATTTAATGAGTGGCCTTTGTTGTGTTTAATGAATAGCCTCACCTGTTTGGTTTACACAATTTGAGGTTATTGGGAAGCTTCTGTTTCTTTGTTTGTTGTTTAATGCCACATTTAGCAATATTTTAGATGCACTTCACGATGTAAGATCCGTTTTATCACAATATAGATCTTGATTATCAATCAGATCGTCTTGACTGAGCGCCGCCATTTTGTTTGATTACCCAATGCAATAGTGATACGAGGGGTGGAATCTGATTGGCAAATAGGAGAGGCATAGAAGGGACATAACTCGTAATAGCCACTGGTGGCGCTATGATCAAGCCCAGGAATTCCAGCGTAGTTCGGCAAGGGTGGAAACTGGACTTTTAAAGTCAGTTAACTCTCTTGCCTCAGGAAGTTGTCCCTATTATGACCAGGGCACATTTCTACGAAGCATTTTACACATGACAACTATCATAACTGTTGCTACAACTATCAGCTTTCAGTGGGTATGCCTGCTTATAGCAGGGGAATCCTGCCTCGTTCTGATTCTACAGCGTCTATGGAGAATGTAATTTGATACCTGGCTACAATTCCGCTGATGAACAAGAAAGTGTTGTCATTAGAAATATCTCAATTGCTTAAAAGTTAAAATAAAAAGAGCACCGACTGTTTTACATATGAATTTAGCATAGATTCACATGCAATTACATGCAATTATCAAGACATAATGATACGGCCTGGCTGCAGTAAACGGTTCAAAAGTAATGTGTATACACTTCCGGTTGTGAAGTTTTGCTCTGTATTTCAAGTGTTTACCGGGATCTTTCTATCTCAAGCCATATAAGGCATTATTCTTCATTTTGTATTGGTTGTTGGTGTATTTGGAAAACAGTCAATCACAGAAAAAGGTGGAGCTTTAGTATAGTGCAGCAATCTGGTTGGTTAAAGAGCATCACCCTTTCTGAGCCATTTCATTCAGAAATAGCTGGTTCTGGAATTCTGTTAGTGTCAACAGTTTAAGTTTTATCGCTTATATCTGTGATCTTGTTGAAAGACCTGTCACTCTAGGGCACATATAACGCCACTGTTATGTTTAAATATCATGATGTCCTCAATTCAAATGGACAGTTCTTCATTAGGGGTAAATGATGTGACTAGAGGGTCAAATACTTTAAATCCAGGATCTTACTATCTCACAAGTGTTATTAACATACTGTCATTGCTATACCCTTGTGGGATAATTAAATAAACAATTGATTAAATTGTACTGACACTTGTTTCCTGTCCTGTCGAAATGAAGAAAGAAATTCAGAAGCCACTAGTTGATTCAAAATGGAGTGTTTAGGTCACGTGACCAAACCGAGACACCTGATTGGTTGGAATTGTAAAACTGTCGTCTGCTCCAAATTGCTGTACATTTTTAGACTTATATTGCAAAGTAATACACAGGAAGATATTCTATTTGTTTCATAATTGGATTAAGAACGATGTACCAACTGTTGTCCAGTGATAGTGGAGAGGAACTTTGAAAACACAAATGGATTTTTTGCTCTGGTGGAGGTTCGTGCATGTGTGGAATATATACATGTTGAATATGTTGATACAACAAAAGATATAACATGTATTCTTTTGACAAATGCATATATCAATGACATTTTTCTGTTTAAATTGAATATGGGGCTCAATAATATCCTGATCTTTTAATCATGAAATGACAAACGCTTCAACATGATAATGATCCACTGTAAATAACCTTTATTTCCTCTTTTATCGACCGCCTCCGTGGTCTAGTGGTAGAGCGTCCGCCCGGAGAGAGGAAGGTCCAGAGTTCGATCCCCGACCGCGTCATACCAAAAGACGTTAAAAATCGGTACTTGTTGTTACCCTGTCTGGCACTCGGCATTAAGGGGCTAAAACAAGGACTGGTCGGCTCGGAGTCAGTATACTGTGTCTGAGTGGGGTATTC